TAATTGTCAATGTTTGGTGTGTAACTGAAATGCTGAAGGAGATGCCTGAACTGAGTGCAGAGAATTCAAAAAAATAAAATAAGGGGCATCTGTATAGTAAATAGTTTTTTAGTTGTGGGAAACATTACAAAATGTGTAGTACTACTGAAGAAATCATTTTGAAACAGAATTTTCACAATTTTTATTTGCACACAATTATGCTGCTAATGGTGTTGTCAAGGAATGGTTGAAACATTTTTTTTTTCATTTTCCACAGAGCTCAAAATAGTGAAGATCAGCTAATTCAATGATATTTTGCAATCTTGGTATATAATACTGTATATATTACAAGATGCCATGATTTTCATTTTTGTCGTTATCAATACTTGGAGAGATATGGTTCACTTAAAATTAAAATAAACATCATTTGCAGAATAAAATGGAGAATTCTGCCAAAAAATCTGTGTTCTGAATTTAGCAATTCCGGTGCTAGTTTTTCTTCTGTGGTTATTTCTAAAAATGTACAAAAAGAAAGGAAAAGGAAAAAATGTTGAGAGATCTGAATATGTCCATCCAAACTCTCTTTAAAGGGCTTTTCTCATCTTTGTTACTTTCTATTACTTCTTTCTGCAATTTCTGTCTATGCTTCCTAAATCAGAAAATATTTCAATAACATCATGATTTCTCTCTGTGTAACGTGAGTTTTGAGTGTGAGTTTCTTATTTTACCAATAAGTGCTCCTTTTGCTGTAGTGTATCTACTGATATTGGCCATACTACAAGTGTTCAATGTGAAGGAAATTTGCCAGAATTGTACCTTTTAAAAATATAGAAGTTATGCTAGATTTTTATTTGTATTTGTGGATGACATGACTATAGATCAAAAGTTACCAAAAGAAATCAAGAGGATGATTTACACTACCAATGGGACAAATACCATCTCACTAATAATGGAGCAAGCTTGTGTAGCTTGAACAACATAATAGGTAATCAGAAATACTGAAGCCTGAGCATTGTGGTTTTGTCTCAGTAATCCTAAATTGTATATTTACAAACTGATGTACCCATTCTGGTTTTTTTTTTACTTCATTTGTTTTTGTTTATATAATTTATTTCTCTGGAAAATAAGGGAAATTTGGATGAATTCATAAAATTGCCTTGTAGTGCATGTTACACATGGGCTTTGAGAGCACGACTAAGTGAATTCCCTTTGTCTTCATCACCTCAGTGCAGACATGTATATCTGATTTGGATATCCAAAATTGCAGACCTGTAAAATTATTTATGTACCGATCTCTTTTTTTAAATGTACATTTAAATCTAATTAGAATAAAGTTTGCCTGAATGGATTTTTCTGCAATATTTTATTTATATACTGTATTAATAACACTATTTTAGATTAACATTAGGGCCGGTGTACATTATGTGAATATTCACATAATTGTACAATTCCTTTGTATTTAGCAAACACCTCTACATAGAATATGCTGGCTCTGTGCAGATAAAAGAATCAATTATGAAGCCTTTGGTATAATGATGCCATTGTCTCCTGTCCCATGTCCAGTTGTTTTATCTAGATGAACTTTTTTCAACCTGTTGTCTTTGGTTATATATTCCTATAATTCTCAGACTGAAACAATTATGTACATAGTTACTTCAAAATAAATCTTTAAGTTTATTGCCACCCGTGATTCTAGGATTGTTTGATGGCTAGATTTTAAAGGAAGAAAATGCTCCTAATAAATATGGTTGTTGATTGTTTAAATGTTAATTTATCATATTGACTTTCAAGCAGTTATAATTATTTCTTTGTGTGGGATATTCCAGAAAAGCGTTTTACTACTTTTCTTAATTATCTTCTATTTTAAATCCTGGCTTCTGCTTGATGGAAGCATATTGAAGAACATATGTTAATTAGAACTATTGTTTATTCATGCACCCAATGTAATTGGGCTAATTCATGAATAAATTAATCTTAATTGAATAGTGTCAATTGAATGGTCTGGATGTTCTTTGCAGAGGATGTCTATAATTTCTATAATTAAATGAAATTATAATTTAAATGGAATTGTAATTAAATATTTTACTGTAACCCAGAGAAACTTGTGGAGATGGACGAGAATATAAATTGGGTAAATAAATAAAAGTGACAGAGGAACAAAGAACCTAAATAAATTTACATCTTTTATGAAACTATTTAATTTGAAAAATTGACCTCTTTCCTTTTCATCAGTTGAATCTTGGATGGTTTTGAATAGCCACTTGAACACTGAACTCCAACACTGATGGGAAAGAGCCCTCTGACATTTGTGGTGTGTATTTCCATTCCTACCAAGAACATTCTGGATCAAACCTGGTACTTTAGGGAAGCGTACAGCAAGAAAGCTAATATCTTTAATTTCATTTAAATGGTTTTAACGTTTTTATGCTACAAAGACCTAAACAGTACATAGAGAAAATGAAAAAGATCCCTATACATGCAAATAGCAGCAGCACTCTTACTTATATGCTGCTTCACAGTGCTTTACAGCCCTCTCTAAACGGTTTACAGAGTCAGCATGTTTCCCCCAACAATTTGGGTCCTCATTTTACCCACCTTGGAAGGATGGAAGGCTGAGTCAACCTTGAGTTTGGTGAGATTTGAACTGCCAAATTGCAGGCAGCCGGCAGGCAGCATAAGTAGCCTGCAGTACTGCACTCTAACCATTGTGCCACTGAGGCTCTGATCTTAACCTAATCCCATGTCTTAAACTTTCCCCTCAAGGTTCAGGATTTGTATCTTGCAGCTTCCAGAGTCTTTTCCTATAGCATTTAACTCTCTTGTCCCCCATTCCCCAAATAATCACAAGCGGACATGGTCAAAAGTCCAGGATAAAATCATCTGGTTGCGAAATTCCCAGGCAGCTACCATTTCATATATACAACTTTCAAGCACAACATAGGAAATGGCAAGAAGGCAGCAGAGAAGCCTTGAAAGATTTCTGTCATTTGATTTACACTTTTATAATCAAGCTTGCCATAACCTCCACAAACCAGTCCAATATTTTGGAAACTAATGGAGTAGTGCAGACAAATACAGGTACAAAAAAGCATCCATGGGGTGAGTAGCTGCTAATCATCTATTTTCATCTGGAGCAAAAATTGGAGAGGGGGGTCTCTGTAAGGGTAGCTCAGAGGGTGGGATGCTGATTTAATGGTACTCTTTGCATCTTCAGATTGGTGTTTTCTGCATTTTTAAACAACTTAATTTCGGGATGAATTCTGACTGCTTTATGATTGTGTGATCAAAATTCTCCTTGCTTTTTATGTGCATTGCACGTATGTTACACATATAAAACAAGTGTGGCTTCTATCACATCTCAAGTTGACCTTTTTTTAAACTACAAGATGGAGACACCTCTAGATCGCAAGTTGGAAACACAGATAATGTGGCAGTTTCCTTATATTGCAGAAATTTCTGACTTTTGCATTCTTTTTGCAGGAAGGCACTAGACCTGCAAACCTACTGGTTAAAATGCGAACAGAAAAAAGAAATTATTTTATTGGACTTCTCTGTTATTTCAGAAACAAAAAAAGTATATATTACACTAAAGCAAAACATCAATCATATTCACGGAATCATTCTAATATTAAGATGAAAAGTATTTGTGCTCTTGTTATTAGTAAACTAAAATCTTGATCTACCTACAGCTAAATAGTATATGGTCTCTGACCGAAAGATTTCTAAAACGCTATTCTGTACAAGTGTACCATTTGTTGTATGTTGTGTTAATTGTGCGCAAACTCAGAAAGCTCAAATTGCCCAAGGAGCTGCTGATCCAGTTCTACAGAGGAATTATTGAGCCTGTCATCTGCACCTCTATAACTGTCTGGTTTGGTTCTGCAACCCAACAATACAGATACAGACTTCAGAGGATAAAAAACAATTACTACCAACCTGCCTTCCATCGAGGACCTGTATACTGCACAAGTCAAAAAGAGGGCTGTGAAAATAATTACAGGCCCCCTCACATCCTGGACATAAACTGTTTCAACTCCTACCCTCAAAACAATGCTATAGAGCACTGTACACCAGAACAACTAGACACAAGGACAGTTTTTCCCCGAAAGCCATCACTCTGCTAAACAAATAATTCCCTCAACCCTGTTCAACTATTACAAAGTCTGCACTACTATTACTGTTAATCTTCTCATCACTCCTTATCGCCCATCCCCTCCCACTTATGGCTGTATGACTGTAACTTTGTCGCTTGTATCCTTACGCTTTATATTGACTGTTTCCTAGTATGATTTGATTGCTTATTGTACCCTATGACTGTTATTAAGTGTTGTACCTTATGATTCTTGACGAATTTATCTTTTCTTTGATGTATACTGAGAGTATTTGCACCAAGACAAATCCCTTGTATGTCCAATCACACTTGGCCAATAAAGAATTCTATTCTATTAAATATTTCAAAGAAATAATTCTTTGCCTAGAACTTACCTTTCCTTCCATAATAGTGCCTGGAGGATTCTCCAGCAGTCCACACAGAAAACTTAGCATTTCATGGGCGTATGTAGGTTCAAACCTTTTCTCTTGAATTGTAACCTTCCACATCATTTTCTCTCTTTCCATTTTTTTAAACGAAAAAGCAAGTTCAGGTGAATTCCCTTTTCCTCCTCTGCGCCGAAAGAGAGGGAGCTTTTGCTAGCAGTAAAAAATAAAGTATTGCCTAAGACCTAAGGATCTGTGGTCACCCTGAAAGCCAGATGCAAAACAGAGGAACATAGCATGAAAGAGCATCTCTAGCCACCGAAGAGAAGGATTCAAACCCAGCCAGGTTGCATGAGGCCCTTCTGGGCAACACACATCACCTTGGAAACAAGGTAGTAAACTTCAAGCAGGGGAGTGGTATGTAAACAAGTAACCTGAGATGGATGGACAGCTGACGTCTTCCAGTCAGGCTTCACTGCTGGTTGGTTTCTGCGTTCATCCTTCCCCCACAGCCCAATCAGGGGAGGAGGGTGTAGGCCAGGAGAAGGGAGGAAACGCAAGGAAGAGGTAGGCCTGTTTTCTCTATAGGAAAGCGTCCATAGTTTCAGGTGGAAGCAACAGGTGACAGATTCAAGGTAACCAAACATTTTATTCTCATTCCCCTTCATCAGTGGGTTTCCAGGAGTTAGGATGTAATTGATATCCCTACCTTTCCCCTCTTTGCTATTAAGGGCATTACCTATTTAGAAATTTTGTGCAATTTAAAAAAATAAATAAAAAATCTGGGATAATAAAGAGTGTGTGTTGTGGAGAGTCAAGAAATACGCAACATACTCAGAATAATTGCAATCACCTGATATGTCACTTTGAGATTCAGGAGAAGGTGGCGTTGGGTGCTGTGAGGGAGCCCTCATTGTACGTAGCAGAATTCCTTGACGTGTTCATCATCAAATTATGACTAAAGTGCTTTTTAACCTCCCCAGATGTTGAACAACCAATGAAAACATATGACAGATAAAATTTTATAATGTACAGAAACCTAAAAGAGTAGTTCATCTTTGTGGTATACAATAGAAAAGTTCATGATATTTTTTTAAAGGACAGAAGAGCATTAAATACTGTTTGCTTCTTTGCTTCACTGACTTTGCCAGATTGTCTGAACTCTCTTGTACTTTAAGAAGGAAACCAAGTGCTTTGCATGCTGACCTCTCAGATTGATGCTATCAGGCCGTTGTAAAGCCTTTGTGAAGACATTATGAAATTACTGCTCTACATTTTATTGTTATTGTGGTTTTACACGCACACATACACATTCCGTGAATTGTAATAAGCAAACCTGCTGGAATCTGCCCTTTTTCTTGTTTTACTTCAGCAAAGTTAAGTTTGCACTTGTATAAATTGATAGAAGGGGGTCTTCTAGAGAGAGGAGAGACAGAAGGCTGCTCTCCAAATGCTCCCCAGACAGTACCAAATCCAGGGGTTGTCTGGATCTGAGAATTGGATATCTTTGGTTCTGCATGAAATTGCACTTTCCCAGGCAGTCCAGGTGTACAATCTGGGGACTCACAACTCCTACTGGAAGAGTAGGTGACTGTCGTGGCTATAAGGGCCTTTGCATACCTTTAAGTTGTGTGCCATTTGCACCGATTCCTGAACCAGGAGAGGTTCTACCCTCTACACCCTAATCACCTCCCTTGTGCTCTAGGTGGCAAAAAAAAAGTGACACCAAGACAGGCAGACTTACATACATACAACCATATAGTTGAAGGATCCTCCATCCCATTAGATCTGCAGAAGTGGTTTGTTGTGGGACCCAAGAGGGTCTTTTCTGTTGCTGCACCCGCTCTATGGAACATCATTCCTCCTGAGATCATGCTTGGCCCACCCTTGATGACCTGCCAGAAGGGCCTGAAGATGGATTTGCCATCCGACCTGGGGATCAGAGACTGGTGCGGGACTCCTAAAATGGCTGCACTATTCTCGATTGACTCTGCTCTACCATCAATTGCTTTGTGTGCTTTTTTTTTTTTTTGCAATTATTTAAACTTTTTCTATTGCTCATATTGTTTTATTTTTGAGTGGGTTTTTTTTTTTTTGGCATTATGGTTTAATTGTAAGCTACCCAAAATCACAAATGTGTGATGGGCAGCTATACATACTGGATAGATGAATGTATGAATAAAAAGCAAACAAACAGAAATAGCACTTAGACTTATATACCGCTTCACAGTGCTTTACAACCCTCTCTAAGCGGTTTACAGAGTCAGCATATTTCCCCCAACAATTTGGGTCCTCATTTTACCCACCTTGGAAGGATGGAAGGCTGAGTCAGCCTTGAGCCAGGTGAGATTTGAACTGCCAAATTGCAGGCAGCCGGCGGGCAGTAGAGGTAGCCTGCAGTACTGCACTCTAACCACTGTGCCACCATGGTTCATAATAAATAGCTCATAAATAAATAAGATGTGCAAAGTGAATAACTCTCAAACCATTGGGAGTTCAATCTTTGCAAACTGAGCTATAGAAAATAAGCTGCAGTGAAATAGAAAAGATTGCTTCCAAGGAATCATTCTTAGGATCTGGTTGCTAACATCATGGGCTGTGTGTGTGTGTGTGTGTGTGTGTGTACGATTCCACTATGTCTCTTTATCACATTGCTATGTGGTTACTAAGAGTCAATACCAAATTGATAGCACATAATTGATCAATTTGTAGTTGAGGAATGAATGCTTACTATATAGAGAGCTGCTACCCTCTCTGTGATAACCAAGTGCAAAGACCTTGTCCATTTATTTCCTTGGCAAAGAAGGACATCTTAGCTGCTTTGCTTGCTTTTCCTCAACTTTAGCATTATACATTATATTTTTAAACTTTGGTTTGAAATTTCTGTTTGACCCTTGTCCGACTCATGAAGGATGAAGCTGCCTAAACTAGCTTAACATATATATGTATTACTTACCTTACTCATTAAAAAGGTTTTAAACATTGAAAAATGTAATCTTAAATTCCTTTTGCAAAGTTCTTTCCTCCTCAGAGCCACATATTTATTATATTCTAGAAAAAGTTAGTTTTCTTCTTTTATGTGGCAAAATAGCCATTTTCTACAGATAGAATTATCAGCACTTTTGCTTCAGTTGGCTTAGGTGCCTTTAACGGTATTCAAATTCATGCAAGCCCTGAATGCTTGTATTGATAAGTACAATTCCTACATTGCTAAGATACTCTTAATCTTACATGGGAAAAGACCCGAACACACCTAGACCTACATATATATATGCATATGGGTCTGATGAGGGGGATTGGCGGTGGTATCACACGTTGTTTTGGGTCTGGTGTTGGCTTTTAAAAGAAAATACTTCCTCCCTCTTCCAGCACCTTAAAGCCACAGGACATGAATTTAATTTCGAAGGAACCAAATTAATATCCAACACTGAACACTCCAGCAAGAGAATAATCAGGGAAGCCATCGAGATAGAGAAACACCCCCATAACATGAATAGACCGGACGATACCTCCCACCTACCAGACATCTGGAAGCTAGCCCTCACCAACATACAAGTCCCAGCCACAAAAACCAACACCAGACCCAAAACAATGAGGGATACCACCGCCAACCCCCCTCATCAGACCCAGGCCCAAGCCCATCCTATAAACGAAGGACAACCACCATCCAGAAAACAGACCACGGCTCCTTCGCCAGCTGTCACACACCCTGACCCCAAAACCAAACAAGCTGACACACACCAATAACACAGACCCAGACCCCAAACTTGAAGCTCACATGCACATAAAGAGGGTGTGCACATACATGCTCACATTTTTGGCAAACCGGTTATTAAACTGGTTGCAGCCCACCTCTGGGTGGAAGGACATAACTGAGATCCAACCTAGAAGGAAGGAGAAATTTCCTAGAGTAAAAACTATTCATCAGTGGAACTGCTTACCTCCAAAAGTTGTGAGAGGTCCATCAATGGAGGTTATGAAGAAGAGACTGGGCAGCCATTTGTCATGGGCAAGAGGTTGGATAGAAGACCTCAAAGGTCCCCTCCCAAGCCTTTTATTCTTTGTTCTAAGATGACTGACTTCCCTTTTTTCTAGATGCCGGGCACTGCACGACATGACAGGGAAATGGCCATCCAAGCCAAGAAAAACCTTACCCGCACCACCGATCCAATCGAGAGGCTACGTCTCCAATGCCTGGCAAGGGGCTCAGCAGGCATCAAAGGCCTGGGCAGGTAAATGGATCCATGGAATAGACGATGAAGGGAAATCTGGTGGCAGCCACACACACGCACACACACACACGGTGGTGGAGCCTGCATCCCTAAGCTAGTTAGTTCAGCCTCTTTTCAGCTTTATTTGAAATGTCCCAGAGAGCTTAAGACTGGGAACCAGCCACTCTGTTTTGGGGTGAGTGAGGATCTGCTCTTTAGTTGGAGTTTTTAATGTCCTCTTTGCACTCATGTTTTCTTTCACATTTTTTAGCACATTCAAGAAACAATTAAGAAAAAGATAAAAGATCTGAATGAGAAGGGAGGGGGGGAAAGAGGGAAGGAAGGAAGGAAGGAAGGAAGGAAGGGAGGGAGGGAGGGAGGGAGGGAGGGAGGGAGGAAGGAAGGAAGGAAGGAAGGAAGGAAGGAAGGAAGGAAGGAAGG